AAATCCCAATTCACAATGGTATGAGAAAGTGACACAGAATTTTCTCAGGCCAGCCAAGGGATGGAGGCTAGGCAGCCAGCATGCAAACTGGATCCCATTATGTCCCTTTCTGGGGAAGGAGTCTAAACATGTCATATAGGCCTCTAATTTTAATGAGCTTTTTTTAATTTTTTACTCAAAGCCCTGTATGTTCAAGCCCACGAGGACTCATTTTATATGCCTGCCCAGGGCCACCAGACTCCATCTGCCTAGGAGCTTGGGAGCACAAGCCAGAACCTCCGCTCTGAGGCCACGGAGACGCCATCCCAGCGTACAATCTAATTTGCTGGACAAACTTGTTAGGCTTCTCTGGTGAGCCTGCAGCTGGCACATCTGCATTTGGGCATCAGGCAGGCATCTGAGAGGAGGGAAAGGGTTGTGTTTGTTGCAAGGAAGTCTTGTGGAAACACCCAATGCTCTGTGTGTGTGTGTGTGTGTGTGTGTGTGTGTGTGTTTCTTTTCTAGCATAATGGCTAGTGTGGGTCCTGATAGGTGGAGTTCTTCCAGTACTTTTTTGTTTTGGTTTTTCGAGACAAGGTTTCTCTGTGGCTTTGGAGGCTGTCCTGGAACTAGCTCTTGTAGACCAGGCTGGTCTCGAACTCAGAGAGATCCGCCTACCTCTGCCTCCCGAGTGCTAGGATTAAAGGCGTGCGCCACCACCACCCGGCTCCTCCAGTACTTTCAAGCCATTTTTTTGTGCAAGAAGCCACGGCAGGGCAGGGCAAGGTGGGCACTCCTGAAATCCCAGTTGGAAGGTGGAGGCAGGAAGGTCAGAAGTTCAAGACCATCCTCTGCTACCTAGTCAAGCGTAATTGGCTGGGCGTTGGTGGCGCACGCCTTTAATTCCAGCACTCAGAAGGCAGAAGCAGAGAGATCTCTTGAATTCAAGGACATCCTGGTCTACAGAGCAAGTTCCCAGACAGACAGACAAGACTGTTATATGGAGAGATTGGTTGTCTCAGAAAACAAAGAAAAGAAAAAAGAAAATCATCTTCCTAATGATTGACACACACCCTCTCTTTAAAGCCCAGAGTGAGCATCTTACATCTGTCCATGAAATGCCAGCACTATTTTTACCTCTCTGTAAACCTCAAAACTCATCATTCTTTAGAAGCAACTAGACAAAGAGGTCTGGGACAGTACTACCTCCCAAATCTCTGCCAGTCTAGTGCCAGGGAAGTCACAGCAGGTGGCCCCATCACTGTCCCATTCATGAGCTCAAAGCCAGTTCCAGCATTAATAATATCTTTTGGAAAGTGTGGGATTTTTTTTTTAAAGCCATTACTTGATTGTGTTCCCTAGAAACAAAGGATTATTTTATAAGTGACAACTCCAATGCATTGTTTTCAGTGCTCTGAGGCAGCTGCTGGAAGACTTGGTTCTACAGAACCTTGACTGTGGATTCCATGTTCAAATGCCAGGACTCCTGACCTGAGGATCCTGGTGAGAGTCATACCCTCAGCAGCTCCATAGTCTGCCAACAGCCAGTGTGTCCTGCTGGCAGATGTCACTGTGAGTGAACACAAATCTCTGGTACCGTTCCCAGATCCCAGGCCAGGTCTCAGGGTACGTGCACTGCTGAGTATTTTTATGCCTGTTGAAGATGTGACTATGAAGTATCTCCCACAAACATTTGGGTTTTTTTTGTTTTTGTTTTTGTTTTTCGAGATAGGGTTTCTCTGTATTCTTTGGAGGCTGTCCTGGAACTAGCTCTTGTAGACCAGGCTGACCTTGAACTCACAGAGTTCCCCTGCCTCTGCCTCCTGAGTGCTGGGACTAAAGGCGTGCGCCACCAACGACCGGCTCCCAAAAACATTTGAATGCTTGATCCCAGCTGTTTGCAGTTTTGGAAGACCTGGAACTTTAATGAATGGTGCCTGGCCACACTGGGACTCCCGCTATCCCAGCTGCCATGCTGTTCTGGCCATGATGGGCTGTAGCCACTGTGAGCCCAAATCAATCCTTCCTTCTTGAGGCTGCTTCTGTCAGGTCACAGTGATGGCAGATGTGAGCCAGGTCAAAGCAGGGAGTGAGAAAAAGCCTTTGAGCACCACCCGGGATTCAGACACCAGTAAACCCCCAACAAAGAAAAGACTCGGGCTTGGCCCTCAACAGAGCCTCCATCCTTTCCCTGTGTTCTTTGAGGTGTCTATCTAGATTATCCCAACTCATCACTCTGTCCCTCCTGACCCCAGAGACAGGTATAAATACTTGTAGTGGCCCAAAGGATACTCCAGGCCACACAGGATGGAAGTAGCTCCTGTTATGTCTCAAGAGATTGAAGGACCGTTGGTGGTGCACGCCTTTAATCCCAGCACTCGGGAGGCAGAGGCAGGTGGATCTCCGTGAGTTTGAGGCCAGCCTGGTCTACAGAGAGAGAGT